CCTTGAAATTTAATAAATGAAAAAAAAAAAATTCGGCGCCAGAAATTTCCTCTAATTCGAAAATAAAATAAAAAAATTTCACCTGATTTTTTTTTACATCATCATCATCATCATAATAATAATTCGTTACAATGTGACAACATTTGAAAAATAAAAAAAAAAAATTATTTCGATAATAATTAACGAATAAATTCCGACAGAAGCAAAAACAAAAAAAAACGTTTAACCCCGTAAATCGTTTTTTTTTTCATTCTCATCATTAATCGATCCAAATTTTTTTTTCTTCTTTTCTAAAAATAAAACTAATAGGAAAGATGATGATAATGATGATGATAATAATGATGGTGATGAAGAAGAGAAAAAAAAATTTTGGATTTAGTTGACAAAAAAAAAAAAGTTTCGGATAATAATCAGTTGGAATTTAAAATTTTTTTTTTTTTTAAAAACGCATCGCGTGACAACTAATTGCGTAGGCGGGTTTTAGTTTGTCATCATCGTTTTTAATAAAAAAAAAAAACAAAAAAAAGGGAAACGAAATCGCGGAGGCTGTGAAAAAAAAATTTTTTTCTTATTTAAAATCCACATAGGAAAAGATTCGAATTAACTAACTTTACGGTATAATTTACAAGAATGGTAAAAATTTATATTAATTATTTAAAATAATTTAATTAAACATGGCACATGTTAATAAATTATTATTTTTTTTTTTTGGTTGTTGTTTGTTGGTTGTTGGAAAGCAATCAAATAACTAATTACTTTAATAATTGTCAATGAAACGTGTCCTCATTAAAGTTTCTTTCATCGTTTTACACTTCATTTCAATATTTCTCTTGATTTACGCAGTTAAAAAAAAAAAATATTTTTTTTTAATTCTTTCCTTTTCCTTTTTAAAACGCACGCGCACGCACGCACATCCCTATCGAAAACGATATTAATTTAAAGAAGGAGGGAGGGGCGTCTGCAGGGGAGGGGAGGAGAAAAAAATATAAACTTTTATTTTAAAATAGTTTTTAAAAAACGTTTATTTATCCGCCATTTTGTAATTTATTTTTTTATTTTATTTTATTTTGTCAGCGTCTTCTGCTTGAATTTTTTTTTTGATTTTTAGGAGGAAGAGAGGGAGGGGAGGAGAAGGGGAAGGGTTATTGAATTTGTTTTTAAAAAAATTTAATGAAAGTTTTTTTAATTTTTTGCTGTTCGTTGTTGTTGGGCAAATTAATTTTTTTTGTTTTGTTTTTTTTTTTTTTAAATTAAATTTCCGTTTGTGTCATCTCATACGTAAACGTGATTGGCGATTGCGAGGGTCTTAACTTCCTCCTCCACCCCCTCTCCTTCCCTTCCCTCCCCACTTTTCGTTTTGTTTTAAATCGAGAGAAATTAAAACAAAAAAAAATAAAAATTTTTTTTACGTTTGACTCCCCATTTTATTTTTCTCTCTCTCACACACACACACATTGCTTTTCGGTTTTTCTCCCTTTTTAAAGTTCCGTTTTTTTTTTTTTTTTGTTAAAAAATCGTCTGTTATCTGATTAAAACATGACCGACGAAAGGAACTTGCCTCATTTGTTTGTTTGTTTGTTTGTGTCTCGCATAAAAAAACAGAAAAGGTATTTTTATTACTTAAAAAATATTATTGTTTTTTTTTTTTGTTTCTATGCGTTCGATTTTTTTTTTATTCACTCAATCTCGTTTGTCGAACGACAAATAAACAACAAACGAAAGGAGAAATGAATTAAAAGAGGGGAAATTTAAGATGGCGGTAATGAGAGGAAGAGAGAGAGAGAGAGAGAGAGAGAGAGAGAGAGAGAGAGAGAGAGAGAGAGAGAGAGAGAGAGAGAGAGAGAGAGAGAGAGAGAGAGAGAGTAAAGAAAAAAACAAAGAAAATAATGGAAAATATATATATTTTTTTTTATTACCCGATGCGGTAATTTTTTTTTTTGTTGTTTGTTTGTTTGTTTTTGTTTGTTGATGAAAGCTCGTTTGAAATGCCATACTTGGCACGAACTGTTTAAGAAAGTTCGACCGGAAGAACACGTTCGCTAATTACCAAGTAAAGGAATCGAATCTTACTTATATATATAATAGAAGAGGCCCCCAGGTCTCATGCGTAGCTATCTCGGGTGCATTATTTAAAAATTGCCCGGGTGGAGACTAAGATCCGTGACGGGGGCCTTGTGAAAGGGGCCCTTTGTTTCGCATTCTGCACGCTTCATGTCCTCTACTAATTTATAACTCTCATTTCAAAAAAAAAAATTTTTTTTTTTTTTATTTTTTTTATTTTTGGGCCGAGACTCTCTCGTCGTTCGTTGGTTATTTTCTTCTACTATGACTTTCTCATCATCATCGTCTGCTTTTTTTTTTTTAATCCGACGACATTTTCAAAGGTTTAGGTCGTTCTTCCTTTTTCTTTTTTTTTTTGTTAAATAAAACAATTAGTGACAGATGTCATCGGAATTTTATTAACAAAATGATTTTTTAATTTATTTATTTTTTTTGATTATTCATTATTACGGTTTGTTATCCGCCATATTAATTACAAACAATTCCGCTTTTATTCTTTGCAAAAAAAACCCTTTTTGTTTTTTTGCAATTTTTTTTTTAAAGTTTTCCTTTGTTCATTGATAAAAAGAATTATTTTGTATTATTATTATTATGCGTGTGCGTGTGCGTGTGACACGAAACGTTAAAATAATAACACACACTCACATTTTAAATTATTTTATAATGATAATAATTATCGATTAAAAATGTCCGACAAAAATAAAATAAATTAATTTAAAAAGCATAGTAATAATAATAATAATAAATAAATGTTTAATTAAAATTTTAAAATTTTCTTCTGCTTTTTTTAACGTTATTTATGTTATTTAAATTTTATTTTGTTTTTGTTTGTTTTTTTTCTTTCTTTTCTATTGCCTCATTTTTCTCAATTAATAAATAAAACAAATTTTTTTTTTGTTTAAATAATTGTTTAATCACACTTCACGGTAATTTTAATACGATTTTAAACTATGAGAGAGAGAGAGAAATAGAGAGAGAGAGAGAGTGAAACAAATTATTTATATTTAGTTTATTTACTTAAGTTTCCAACAACCGATCGTCGAAAAAAATAATAATAATAATCAACTATGTGGATGATATAAACACACGTCGGTTAATGATTACAAATAATAATAATAATGATAATGATAATGATAATAACGTAATTTTTCTACTATTGACACTTTTTTTTTTAATGTAGATTTAAATTTTTTTGTTTTTTTTTTTTTTCTCTTCGGATGATACTTTAACATTTTATTCCGTTGTAAAAAGTTTGTTGCAAAATAATAAAAACATGATAAGTTGTACAAACAAACAAACAAACGGGTAAAACTTAAGTAATAAATTTAAAAAAAAAAAAATGGCGTAAATCTCACACGTGCAAAAAAAAAGGTTTTAACTTAACAACAATTACACGGACTTTTGAAATCAAATTTCGGTAAGAAAAAAAAAGGCTTGCAGTAAAATTTCTTAATTTTTATTATTATTATTATTATTATTTAGACGGAGAAAGAGAGAGAGAGAGATTAGGTATTGTAATACAGACTCCCGACATTGATGGTAATTTGACGTAAGGTATATTAAAACCTTTTTTTTTTCCTTTGGATTCAATGGCAGGTCGTTACGCCTGAGTATTTTAATGATCCGTTAAATCTTCGTGACTTGGTGGTCTCCTACATATATGAGATTTTCTTTTTCCACCATTGTTCCTTACCTCCCCTTTTCATTACATCCTTCTTCCTCCTCCCCCTCCCCTTCGCACCCGAATGCTCGCGAGAACGCGCGCAAAAAAAACTTTACGACTTTTCCTTTTTCTTTTCCTTTCTTTCTTTTCTTTATACTAATTTATAGTAAAATTATAGTACTATAAAATTTTTTTTTTTACTAAATATATTCTATATTAAAAAATGATTATATCGATTCGTTTGTTTTTATTAAAAGCAGACGATTTTTTTTTTAAATAACCAAACTTCAAAGTTTGTTTATTTGTTTATTTTTAATTAATTGAATTCAAAAAAGAAAAATTCAAAAAAAAAAAAGATATCATTAAAATTTAATTTTTTTTTCCTTTTTTTATATTTTTATTTATTTAATTTTTCACTTCCTTTTATTATTATTATCATTATTATTATTATTATTATTATTATTAATATTTAAAACAATTTTTTTTTACCTCGACCCCAAAAAAAAGAAAAAAGGTTGAATTTTTGTAAAAAAATTGTTTTTTCTTTCTTTCCTTTGAGAAAATTTTTTTTTTAAAAATAAAATTTAAATGTGGTGATGATGGTGGGGGTGAAATAAAAGGATATCGATAAAGGTATCAAAGGAAAAAAGAAGATGGATAAACGATGAATATCGAAGGGAATGAAGAATTGTACTGTGAGGGGGGAATGGATGATCCGCCGCACCCGCCGCCCCTTTCCCTCCCCTTCCGCTTCCCCATCCCCCTTCCTTTTTTTTTTGATATTTTTCATTTCAATTTTTATAAAATCATACGGAAGTTTTATTTTTTCTGGTTAAAAGACTAGAGAGTTGAGGGTTGAGAGTTAAAATTTAAGGGTTGATAAGGGTTTTTACAAGGGTTTTCATCCCTTTAAATTTTTTATTTATAAATTTTAACGTAAAAATATTTTTTTTTTAATATATAAACACACACACGAAAGCAAGTAGTAAAAGGAAACGGAAAAAAAAAAATAAATTTTCTTTTGACCAATCCGAGATTAAACACTATATTATTATTATTATTATTACTATTACTATTATTACTATTATTATTATTATCATCATCGTAAATATTTTTTTTTTATTCCTTCCCTTTTTAAAGTATTAAAGAGTGATAATAATAATTATTATTACTTAATTTCATTATCGTTATTATCATTTAACATTCATAAAATTTTTGTCGAAACGGGGCGGGGGGCGGGGGGCAGGGGGTACAAACAACGGGGGAAAAAAATCGAAAATTCATTAAATATTTATTACGGTAATAATAATAAAAAATTATTATTATTATTTTTTTTGGTTTTTTTTCGACACAAATTTTTTTAAAAATTTTATGATAATAAATTTTAATTTCGTACTCGTGACTCGTTTTTCAAAACAACAACAAAACCATTGAAAATAATAATGATAATTATTATTATTATTATTAATAACAACGGTGATGCCAACTTACGTAAAAAAAAAGAGAGAGAGAGATTATTAACTTACCTTCTAATAATTTTCCGACGGCAGCATCCAAATGAAGTGATTCACGTTCCTGTATTTGATCTTTTCCACTTTGATTTCCGGTATTGTTAGAAACATCAACAACGTTTGTTTCTGTTGTAACAACTCCGATTGTTTCAGGTTTGTACATTTTTACAACAAATATATTTATTGTTTGTTTATTTTGATTGTTTTTAGTATTATTTAACACTTTTTATTAAATTAAAAAAAAAAAAAAAAACGCAACAAAAAAAAAGCGCGAAAAAAATTTTTAACGTTTTTTTTTTGATTGTTTACAAAAATGCAATTTTTCTTTTTTTTTACGCGCGCGTTTGTCGTTTTTATTTAATTATTATTATTATTATTATTATTATTATTATTATTATAAAATTTTAAAATATGATTTACGATGTTACAGGTGGTAAAACGTAAATCTTTTTTTTATTACCATTTTATATTATACTCTCTCTCTCTCTCTCTCTCTCTCTCTCTCTCTCTCTCTCTCTCTCTCTCTCTCTCTCTCTCTCTCTCTCTCTCTCTCTCTCTCTCTCTCTCTCTCTCTCTCTCTCTCTCTCTCTCTCTCTCTCTCTCTCTCTCTCTCTCTCTCTCTCTCTCATTATAAACGTTTTAATTATTACTATTATTGGTGATTATATAGAAAGAGGAAATGGGAAAAGAAGAAAAATAATTTAACGTGTCCTTTATATTATTAATCTGTCTGTGTGTGTCGTAGAATTAAATGTTTTGACCTTTAACCCCTTTCCTCCCCCCCTCCTTATCCCGAGTTTCTTTGTTTTGGGTTTTTCAAAAATTTTTGTATTTTTTTTTTAATAGGGAATTTTAAAACCGGTCAAGTTTGGAATTTTCCGGAAACAAACTTGTACACCGTCGCATAAGAAAATTTAATTTCGAAAAAAAAGAAAAACTATTTTCTGGGAAGGGAAGGGGAGTGAAGGGAAGGGGTAGAGGCTAGAAATTTTTAATTTAATTAAATTAAACAAATTTTTTTCTAAATAAATTTCGTAAATAATTTTACCGTCGCCGGAAGTCATTTTAAAATTTTTTCTTCGATTTGTTTTATTCATACATAAACTATTTAAGTTTATGAAAATGTTTTAACTTCATAACATTTATTATTATTATTATTATTATTATTATTATTATTATTATTATTATTATTATTATTATTATGCATTTTGTTTTGTTTAAATTAAAAACAAAACGTTATGTTTTCCGGCCATTTCTTTTTTTTTCTTTTTCTTTTCATAACACCAGATTTGTTTTTATATATTTTCTGTTGTTGTTTTTAATTTTTTTATTTTTATTTTGTAAACAAATTACAATAAATAATTTTCAAAGAAATAAAAAAAAAAAAAACCGTTCGTTTGTTTACAAGAGCAGACAAAAAAAAAAAAAAAGGATTGAACGCGAAGAAAAGATTTTTTTTTCTTTTTCTTTCTCTTTCTTTCGATTTCTAAAACTTGTATATTTTGTCTAGAAAAAAAATATTTACTCGTGAAAAATCTTAAATTCGCTTGCTTTATTTATTTATTTATTTATTTATGTCAACATTTAACCACGTGACCATCAAAAAATAAAAAATTTTCCTCATTTTCCTATTCGAGTTTAAATCCCCCCGCCACGAATTTTTTTTTTTTCTCATGGGACGAATGACGAAATATATAAAAATTAAAAAAAATTCCGTCGGATTGATTGATTGAATGACTGATTGACTGACTATAAAATTTTGTGAAAAACAAACAAACAAACGATCGGATATATGCCAAATATAGACAAAAAAAAATTTTTTTTTATTTTCGTATTTTTCATACGAAACGATTTGTTAAAACGACCGAAAGGAAAGGATTAATAATTTATATATAAAATTGATTACGATTGATAATAATAATAATGATAATGATAATAATGATAATAATGATAATAAATTGAAAATTTAATTCTTTTCAAAATGTTTTTGCCTAAAGGAAAGCGTCATTCACAACACAAAATGATTTATTACTATTAAAAAAAATTTTTTTTTTACTTAATTATATACGAACAATTAACAACAAATTCAGCCATTTTTCTTTTTCCTTTCTCTTCTCTTCTCTCTATAACCTGACTATATTTTTTTTTTTTGTTTAGACGCTATAATTTATATTTCTATAAAGAAGGTTAAAAACGACGACAACGACAACGACAACAATTTTGAAATTATCGATGATTTTTTAATTTTTCCACACAGACACACACACAAATCATAAAATTTATTTATTTTTATTATAAATATTAAAAAGTATTATTATTATTATCATCTGCTATAAAAATTTATTATAGCGTAAAACTATATTTACTTTTTTTTTTTTTACCTTTTTTTTTAATAGTTTCGTAAATATCGTAAGTCTGTTAGTTTAATAATAATAATAACAATAATTTTATTTAATAACCGTATAAATGTTGAAATGAAGACAATAATAATAATAATAATCACTCACTATAATTCACGTAAAACAAAAAATCACAAAAACGTAAGGTAAACGTTTAAAAAAAAAAAAAAAAAAAAAAAACATAATTAAATTAAATTAATTTTTAAACGAAATCAAAATGAAAACTAAAAAAAAAAAAAGAAAAAAAAATTCACGGTGAGAGAACAAAAATGAAAGAAATAATAATATATATGGAGTTGGCTCCATCATTGCCACCATCACCATCCTCACCATCATCATCATCATCATCATCGTCATGGATTTCTCTTAAGCCCTTCCCTTCCCCACCACCACCACCACTACTTTTTTTAACGTTTGGTCGCCAGAAGATTTTTTTTTTTTTTAATATGTTGAGAGTTTCGAACGCGCGAGACCAGGTTTTTTTTTTTAAACATAAAAATCTATTATTGATTTGTTTTAATTACAAAACGTAATAACTCCAATTCGTTTTTCATTCCACATTATTATTATTATTATTATTTTAATTTTTTTTTTTGAATTTAAAGAAAAAGGGACGGGAACGTCGATGCTGTTACGAACGGTCCGTGTTTAATTCCTATAAAACCATTTTTTTAAACAAACAAAAAAATAAACAAACAAACAAACAAACGAAATTTCAAAATATTTTTTTGTTTATAAATAAATAATAATAATAATGATGATGATGATAATTTATTTATTTAATTTAAAAAAATAATTTTTTGTTTTTTTTTTATTTTTTGTTATTATTAATCGAGACGAAAATAAATAATAATAATAATAATAGTTTTTTGTGTTTGCCACACGTTAAGATTTTTTTTTTAAATTTTCCCGCCATTTTTTAAATTTTTTTTTCGGTTAAAAATTGAGTTATATGAGTTTCGAATTCGAAGGTATAAAAAAAAAAAAAAAACGAAAACAAAACAATTTAATTTTTTTCTCGTTTGTTTTTTATCCCTTCCATTTTTTCTTCGAGCCCCTTCCCCTCCCCACACCACCTCCCCATCTCCTGCTTAAGCTTTTTTCACTTCCACTCCTCTTTTACATTTACGCCCAGGTATCCATTTATAATTATTGTAAAAATTAACAACTTATGAAATCACCGACGGAAAAGTGATTGATTGAGAAAAGGTTTAAGAGATAATAAAATTTTTCGAAGGAAAGGTTGTTCGAAATAATAAAATTTAAATTTTTCCGACGGATGATGACGATGATGATCATGATGATAATAATGATGATGATAATATTATAAATTATAAATAAAAAAAAAAGGTAAAATAATTCGCATGAGTAAATTTAATTGATTGTTGTTGGAAGATGGATTTTGTACGAAAGAGTAAAAGTTAATTAATTGAGTAAATTTTGAGTAAAGCCAAGCCTAAATATTTATTTAGTTACAACAACAACAACAACAACAAACGATGAATAATTTATTATTGTAAAATTATAAAACAATGTCAGTTAATTTACGTTTTACGCGCGGCGTTATCCTTTTCTAGATTTTTAAATTATTTAAAAAAAAAAAAATCTGTCTTATTCTTCACATTTGATGATGATGATGATGATTTTGTATAAAAACCCACATGCTCACATCCTCTAATGAAAAAATAAGGAAGGAAAACAGTTCGCACGGTGCGTTCGTTCACATATAAAAGAAAAGACCGACTTACAAATCGACCGGAAGACTTATTTTTAAATAAAAAAGAAAAACTCATATGGGCCACCATTAGGAACCTTATTATTATTATTATTATTAACCAAAGTCGGTTTGTCGGTAGGTCGCGGTCGGTCGGTCGGTCGGTATATACAAAAAGAGAGAGAGAGAGAGATTCGGTAGTAGTAGCAACAACCCCGTGACGGCCACACACACCTTATTATTCTCTCATTAAATATTTATTTACGTTTCCTCATGTAAATTTATTGTATTGACGTCATCATTTCAAGATGTCTAAACATGAAAAAAAAAAATTAACTCATCTTTTTCTCCGTGCATTTCCGATCACGTGATTATATTTAAAAAATTTACTTCTACGTTTAATTAATAATCCATTTTTTTTTAAACGTATACCTACCTAATTATGCGCATAATTAAAATGATTGGGATTGAATGATTGATTGATTGATTATGAACATATAGACCGATCGTTGGGATATATAAATGTTTAAATACAATAAATGATATCGTGATTACTATTTGAAAAAATTTTAAAAGCCAGCCAGCCACAGGGTGTCAGAATGAGTGAGTGAGTATCGAGTATGGTGGTCACGATGACATGTAATTGAACTTTTGTGACCTTTACATGGTACCTTTGGAATTTGCTGAATCACGAGTATAAACATAACCGATGAAGCGGATTTTTTGCCTTCCCTCGCCCTTTTCTTCTGCTAAATCAAAATTTTTTTTTATTTTTCTCTTCTGAGGGTTGATGTGGAAGACATTTTGTGTGCATCGAATAATAATAATAATAATAATTGATCGTGATAATGGGAATTAATAACAACAAAAAAAAAATTATAATAATAATAATTTTTATATATATATATATTATATATCATTCGTTAGGATAATTTATTTATTTATTTTTTTTAAATATATTATACAATAAAAATTATTTATTTATTATTATTATTATTATTATTATCATTATTATTATTGTTGTAGGAAAATTCTTTAAGAGCCGTCCGTCGTCGAGTCTTTTGTCAATAAATACTGTCATAGCGTTCAAAAAAAATATTCTTTTATATGTGGCAGCCGAATTTTTAGGTTTTTTAGGTACGGTATTATCACAATAGATTCGACCGCGCTCACTTCATTCAATAAAGAAGAGAATAATAATAATAATGATGATGATGATGATGATGATGCAAGTTAAAAAAAAAAAAATTGAAATTCGATTTGTTCTTCTTTTGAATTCAACTCAAGTGTTTAGATTCATTCAAGAGTTTTTCTCGTCTTTTTTTTTTTTGTGAAAGACTTTAAAAAGCTTTGGCTTTTCACGTTTATTATTATTATTATTATTATTATTATTATTTTTCGAGAATGGTGTATATTACGTTTTACGTGAGAGTAAATTAGAAAAAAAAAGGAAAAATAATTTGAGGGATTTTTAATGCGATTCGAAGAAATTTATAAGATAAATAATTCGATTGGTTTATTATCATTATCATCGATAATTATTAATGGGAAAATGTGGGAGGGGGGATAATTAATGGTGGTAAAAAAAACACTTAAAAATTTATTCGATGTAGTCAATGCGGTCGAATTATATAAAAAAAAACTCGCACTTTCGGAACGTGACTCTACAATGATTCATTGTTCATCATTCAAAATGCTGTCATTCTTTTTTTTTTTTTTTTTTTTTTGAAATTAATATTATCTACTAATCAACTCAACAAATCCGCCGCCGCCACAACCGCCTGTCCAAACATTCTTCATCTAAGATTTTTTTTTTACCCATTATTATTATTATTATTATTATTAATTTATTCTTTTCTTTAAAAAAAAAATTGCCGATATTTAAACTGGAATGTTTTTTTTAAAAACTTTTACGCCATTATATTATTATTATTTTTTTTTGTGTATTCATTCCGTTCCCTTTTCCTCCTACTCACCCACTTCTCCACCTCCTCCCTCACAATTTTTAATTTTTTCATTTTTTCTAAAAGAAAAAAAAATTTTTTTTGAAAACTTTTTTTTTCTTTCTTTTAAATGAAGCTAATCAGACAGACACAAACACCAAAAAAAAAGGAAAAAGAAAAAAAATTTACTTAAATTTCACGCTTTGGAATCGTAAACAAAAATAATAGTAATAATAATAATAATAATAAAATTTTATTATAGACGCTATAATATAGCGACAAGAAACCGAAAAAAAAAATAATAATATAAAATTTTTTTTTGCTAGTGTAAAAAAAAAAACAAAAAAACTTGTTTCCTTTGTTTATTATTATTATTATTATTATTTTATTTTTTTGAACTCGTAGAGATTTTCTTTTGTTTTGCGTTAAGAAAAAGAAAAAATTTAAAAGGCGGTGAAAAATGGATCGGATCGAAAAAAAAAACCTAAAGTTTTACTGTAAAATAATGATTGAACGAAAGGATAGTAATTATATTGTCAAGTGCACTTCGTATACTGTTAATTGTAAAACGAGAAACACAACAACAACAATAACAACAACAACAACAATCAAAGTGGGAGGTGTTGGTTGTTGGTTTTTTTTTTTTTTTTTACGGGCAAGCCAATGGTCCATAATAAAACCACTCCTCCAACTGACTCTATTGGAGCCACCTACCAACCTTCCTTCTTCTTTTTGGCTTAATACTAAGAGGAGGAGGAGGCGAAGAAGGAATGAGTCGCGTTTAATGTGTTTCTTTTGGCACTTTGCTCTAAATCTAAACTTTTCTCTCTCCCCCTCTCCCCCCTCTCTCAATCTCAACATTCGTCGACGTAGAAAACAACAATTATTTCGTAATAAATTTTATCCGTCTATTTTTTTTTTTTTTTCAATCAATCAATCATTCAAAATATATTTATTTATTTATTTAAAAAAAACTTTTATTAAAACTTAATTAATTAATTAATTATTGATTTTTTTTCATTTTTCGTTTATTTATTTATTTATATCGATGACGATGATGATGATGACGAAAACATTTTTTTAAAAATCGATTTTTAAATTTTTGTTTACGTTCAAACAAAAAATTTTTTTTTTACTAAACTGTTACGAGATTAGTTTTTTTTTTTTAGTTTTTCCAGTTAAAATAAATTATACAAACAAAATAGATTATTAGTTTTTCAAAAAAAAAAAAAAAAATTTTCAAGGATTTAAAAAAAAAAAAAGATGAAGGAATGAGAAAAGTCACCTAATTAGTAACTCATCTCATTAAGCTAATCAGTCGCACCTTGGAATTTAATTTGTGTAAACATTCTAGAATTATATAGAAAAAAAAAAATTTTTTTTTTTGTCGCATTTATTTATTTATTTATTTACGCGGATTCGAAAACGTAACAAATAAAAAAACAAACAAAACAAACAAACAAACAAACGAACGAACGAACGAAAAAACGTTATAACTTTTTTTTAATTACGTGAAACCCCCAACCCCCACCACCGCCCCCTTCATCCTCTCCCTGGATTCACGAGAGAGTAAATAAATATATAACAAATAAAAATTAAAAGTAAATAAATGCGACACACGATCGCAAAAACAAAAAAAAAACTTATATATAGAGCTATAAATATAGCGCTATAAAATTTTTATTTTATTTATTTAGTTTTATAGTCTATAATTTAAAAATCTTTTTAACTGGAAAATTACGTGGGAATTAATAATAAAAAATTTTTTTTTCAATTAAATCTCTCGTTTTTATTTATTTAATTTTAAAACAATTAATTAGCAGAAGATGATTTAACAAATAATAATAATAATAATATTTTTTATCAATTAAAAAAAAATAAAAACGTTATGCAAAAATAAGGGCGGATGAGGGATGTGAAAACAAACAAAAAATTCGGGATTTTTCCCTTTTTCCATCTCTTTCCCCCTCGTTCCCGAAATTTCATTCATTTTATAAAACGCACAACAACAACAACAGCAAATCCGGTCCCGTAAAAAATGATAATAATAATAATAAAATCAAATATGGCAAAAATAAAAACAAAATGGCGTCGTCATCATAATTAAAATATAAAACAACCGCCTTCATTTAAAATTTAAAAAAAAATTCATTAATGTTTCGTAACGGTTCGTCGCTAAAACGAATGATTTTATTATTATTATTATTAATTAAAATCCTTTTTAAAAAAATGCGACGACTATTCCAATAATAATAATAATAATATAAAATTTATTTTTTGTGTGTGTGTGTGTGTGAGACTGACTAGCAAGGGGTGAAATTATCATAAATTGTGTAAATAAAAAAAAAAAATTTTTATCTTAACATTTTTTTTTACTACCTAAACAACCTAAAAAAATTTATTTAGTTTTTCTCCAGGTTGTTTCTTCCTCTCTCCATCACATCCTCTCTTTCCATGATACAAAAAAAAATTTATTATTAATATTATTGACAAAAACAAAACAATTAACTCAAATTATTTATTTATTTATTTTAAGGTTTTTTAAATAAAAAAAAAACTTAAAAATTTTTTTTTTTTTAAGAAACTTTTTTTTTTTTTTTGGAGTTTACGAAAACGATTGACCCATAAAATAGAGTAATAAACGAACGAAAAGCACTTATTATTGCCTCCAGCTTATATATATATCCAGGATTTTGTGTTTGTAACGGCCTACGCTTTAAATTTATTGTTATTAAACAACTTACACGTTCCCTTTTTTCCCCTTTCCCTTCTCCTTCCCCCTTTCCTCCTCTTTCTCCTTCTCCTCCTCCCTTACGAAAAAAAAAGGCATTATCATAAATCAATGTAAAAAAAAAAAAAAAATTTTTTTTTTTTTTAAATAAATAAATATAGAAAAAAAACAAAAAAATAAGGTATAATAATAATAATAATAATAATAATAATAATAATAATAATAATAATAATATATGTTACATTTAATAATAAGGGACGAAGTGTGGGAGGAGAGGAGAGACGACGGTAGTAGTAGTAGTAGGGGATCCCTCCTATATAAACATAACACGAGTTATCAGTTCATTCAAGGACAGAACTCTCTCTCTCTCTCTCTCTCTCCTCTCTTTCTTTTTTCTTCTCTCAAAGCCACTCCAACGTTTCTTGGCTCATTAACGGAGCACCATTTCAACTGGAGTGAATGGTCCGTGTATTTTAGTTTCTCTTTAATTCTTCACTTCTTGGTGCGAGTGTGTATATTAAAATCATATCCGGGATTTAAAAATTTTTTTTTGTTTCAATCGAATGGCAGGAGACGAGTAACTACACACGCACACGGGAGGAAAATAATAATGATTAAAAAAAAATTTTGAGTACTGATAATAATAAAAATAGTAATAATGGAAAAGAAAAATTATACAAGGGAAGGTTCTCCGAAAGTGGTTGTTACGACGACGGATTTACCAGTGGTTAAAATAACCGCAGCAAACATAATTGGAAATGGTAATGCGTGTAAAGGTTCCGGTGAAATAAAAGGTTCAATTTTGGAAAAGGCCGAAATCAACGAAGCCGTTTCAAAAGTTCTCCAGGGATATAATTGGTCTTTAGTACCCAGTCCGACAAAGTAAGTAAGAGATTTTATTTATTTTATTATTATTATCATTTATTTATTTTTTTTACGCGTAACGTTATAAAAAAGTTTTTTAATTAATTGTCATCATCATCATTGTCGCGCAATCATTTTATAAAAAAATTTTTTTTTTTTTGGAAAATTTTTAAATTTTTTATTATCATTAGGAAAAGTTTAAAGAGAAAATCCGCTCAAAACATGTTTAATTATGTTTATCCAAAAAGAAAGGAAAAACTGGAGAAAAAATTTTTTTTGTTTTTTTTTTTTTAACAACCGGTTCGTTATATCAAATTATTAATAAATTTTTTTTTTATTTTTGAATATTTTAAATCGGATCTGGAAAATTTTTTCACTGGAAAAGCTCCCTGAAAAAAAAAAGAAAAAATTTTTTTTTTTACTCCGTAGATTTAAAAAAAAAAAAAAAAAACGTTTAACCGAATGCGTTTGTCGTAATTAATGTTAAAAAGTCATAAATAAAAAATGACAAGAGAGAGAGAAAGAAAGAGAGAGAGAGAGAGAGATGAGAGAGTTAAAAAAAAATTTTTTTTATCATTTTTTTTTGTATACAATGTTTCGAATTCTCACGGTTTGTTTTGTTTGATGTAATTACCTTCATCCGTGTTAAATTATCAATAAAAATATTATTATTATTATCACTGGGTGCGATTAGCACCCCCCCTCCTAATATTCTCTCCCCGCACTTTCCCACCAGTCCTCGTAGAAAAGGAAAGAAAACATTTTTGAGTGAAATAAAATTAATTTTGAATTATTGTTGATGTTGGGGGATTCGCCGTCGACAGGAAAATCGAAAAACGATCACACAATAAATGAATAGAAAACGCGTCAGAAATGAATTTTAAAAGAGAGAGAGAGAGAGAGAGAGAGAGATGGTGAAAGAGAGTGAGAGAGAGTGAGAGAGTGTGAGAGATGGTGAGAGAACGAGAGATTTAAAAACGGAAATTCGATTTCTGGTTAGTGTCGATTTGTAAATGATTATTTCAAATGAAAAATTTTACATTAAATATTTATTGGAACAAACAACAAACAGCAAACAACAACAATCCGATGAAAATTTTGTTATCAACGTTCAAAAATTTTCTTTTCGACCCTTCAACGGTAAACTAATTAATAATATAAAATAAAAAAAAGGGTGAAAATTTTCATTTTGACCCCCCCGAGGTCATCGTCGTCATTATTACCGTCGTATAATTTAAATCATTTTCAGTCATCATCATCATCATCATTATTATTATTATTGATAGCATTATCATCAAAAACGTACATAATCGATACTTTTTGTATTAAAAAAAAAAAAAAAAACATTTTTGAAATTCAACAGTCGAAATTAATTAAAAATTTTTATTTTTATTTTTACTCGAAGCTTTGAAACCCCCCCCCCCCGTCCCGCCGCCGGAAAATTTCATTTTATTTAAAAAAAAAAATTTACAATAGGTCAAATGTCAATCCAATATTGATTTTTCGATTTTATTGTAAATATGGTAATAATAATAAAATTAATAATAAAGTAAAAATGAAAAAAAATTTTTTTTTGGTTAAACAAATCTAAGAATTAATTTAATACGTAAAATTTTTAGAATTTTCTAGAACAAACGCAAACAACGCAAAAAAACGGATTTGATTCGTTTGTTGTTGTTCTAACGACGGGAAAAAAAAAACTTACATGAATGGGATTTTCCAAAATCGAAATTTTTTT